ATTTCATTTTTTTATTATGCAGTACACATTTTTAAAATTTCATTAAAACTTAATTGGATCACAATAGGTCACACTTCACTGAATGACTTTTTCAGGGTCGTGGGGGCGCTGGAGCCTATCCCAGCTGTCTTGGGGCGAGAGGCAGGGTACACCCTGGACAGGTTGCCAGTATGTCGCAGGGCCAACACACAGGGACAGACAACCATTTGCACATTCACACCTAGTGGCAATTTGGATTATCCAATTAACCTATCCCCACAAGTTGCATGTCTTTGGACGGTGGGAGGAAGCCGGAGGGAACCCACGCAAACACAGGGATAACAAAGACCCCGGCCTGATGGTGGAATTGCACTCAGGACCTTCTTGCTGTGCGGCAACAGTGCTAACCACCGTGCTGCTCAGTGTTGCTTTATTTAAGTGTGTGATTTATTGATTTATTTTGGAATCATTAAATATATATCTATATTTATTTATTATGAATGTTTGGCACCTCTCTCTAAAGGGGAATGCCATATTTTAAAAGGAATTATGCGTGTAACTGTAGAAAGATAACAAAACAAAGGATTTGTGAAACAGTAGAATAAATATATATTTATAGTATGTTTCATTTGTATATTATTCTTGACTCACATGAGAATATCATGTATTCAATATTAATTTCTTTTCAAAGAGTTTCAGTTTATCTGGTAACTTTACACTACGGTGTGCAGCTGGTTTTGATGAACATCTGTGTTCAGCAGCTGAAAGACTTTGGGATCTATACAAACAACCTGCAATTTAGTTGTAAATAGATGAGAATATAACAGTTTTCCACAGAGAGAGCTCTCACAACAAATGTCCTCTAGCTTAATATCCCATCTGAAAACATGACTTTTGAGAAAATTCTAACATTTCTTTTTTCGTTGTGACAGAAATGCTTTTTTTTTTAAAACCACATAAAACGTAGTAAAACATAATATGATTCTGGACTGTACTATTATCATACGGGGGGATAATAAAGGACACTGCGCTGTATGTTATTGCACTTTTAAGTAATAAGTAACCATCAGTTACTGAAAAATTCTGTTACTATGTCCTTATAATCATGAAATATGTGTTTTATCATCAGACATTATTGCTTCTTTACATACATTACAGAAATTGTTACAACAATTTACCCGGAAGTAGTAGCGGTTTCTGTCGCAACCACACTGTCCAGCTTTGGCGGTACTTCTGGCGGTACAGCATGGAGCAACAATGCCACAGCTTAGAATTACACATTATGTCACTGCCGTTTTTATTTTTGGAGTCTTTGACAAAGGTAAGAAGAAACTTTTATTCCAGAATGTATGTGACCATACTAAGGTGATCTTATTTTATATCCAAAAAAAGAGGACACGGCTCAGTCATGAAGAACTTGCTTAAAGAAACATATTTATAACATATTTAAACGATGCCTTCTCTGTGCGGTTAATGAATTGTGGAATAAAATATGTCATATAGGCTTTTACAAGTCAATAATTGCAAAAAATAACTTAAAAGCCTCTGGAATTAAATAATGGTACAGAAATACTGCCTCATCTGCATAAGAAAAAATACCAGTACTGGGTCGGTACGAGGGAAATTTCTTTTGCAGTTCGTCTGAAAAGATGCACTTGCGCTTTGGGATCTTTTAAACATCATTAGGCGTGGGGACGGTTGGTCACCCTAGACCACACGGACGTGTTACACTCTTTCTTTCGTATATTTTGAATCGTGGAACCGCTTTTCAGTGGGTAAGCGTTGAGTGTGATATTACACGAGTTCGTCAAATTTCAAATAAACGCCTTGTTAAGAAACGAAGTGTTTCTTTTACAGCGTTTTCAATTTGAAAGGGGCTACAGGAAAAGTTGATTTTGCATGACGTGACTTCAACAGCGCAGAGTGTAAATAACCGGATTTATTATTATACTTTCACTCATTATTGTGTCAAACAAAAGAAAAGAAAAGGTTACGTTCAGCAAGATGAAGGTTGTGTAAATGAAGTAACGCTGTTCCTGATTTTGCTCAGCCTACAGTTTGAGATTCTTCAAATACTTTGCTGCTTGTCATTTTAAAAGCAGACGCAGCTACCAGCAGCTTTTAAGGTACAAAGCTATCACGTCACGTTACGATGTGATAGCTTTGATCGTTGTCCATAATAACGTCTATGCGTTATTATGGACAACGCCCACAGAACTTTCTTTCTTTCTTTCTATTGCTTTATATTTCTGTTATCATCACAAAAGTTACTGCCTTTGAAAAATATTTTTTATTGCTAATAAAAAACATGGTTTGGACCTTTGACCTCTAAGAAAGATGGACATTTCACAATAGTTAAACATTTATGCACACAATAGTGGTAGAAAAATAACGAATGTAAATTTGGAATTTGAATTTAGAAAAAGGTATAAAAAGTCCCTTTAGGACAATAACCGGACTTAATAAGAGTGACATGATAATGACAGTTTACTTTTCTGAAAGTTCTTGACTTCTCAAACTGTATCTCCTGCAGCTCTAACAGCAGTGGTCCAAACACAGCAGACTGTGCTGGCAGCAGTGGGAGAAGATGCTGAATTCAGCTGTCAGCTCTTGGACACTAAAGACGTCCTTCAGGTCACATGGCAGAAAATCTCACATGATGTGGAGACAAATGTTGCCACCTACAGCAAGTACTATGGTCAGAGAGTGAATGATGGCTTTAAAGAGAAAGTTGAGTTTAAATACACTGGACTACAGAACTGCTCCATAGTCATCAGGAATGTGACGGAGCAGGATGAAGGCTGCTATCACTGCCTGTTTAACACTTATCCTGACGGCTCTCTGACAGGTAAACCCTGCCTCCATGTCTTTGGTAAGAACTTTATCTTCTTTAACCAACAACAAGTGCTTCAGACATTTATGTCAACATTTACTGGACATAAATGTGTGAGCAGCTGGTGTGTTTGTAAGAACATGTTGATGATATCTCCTGATCCTTCACAGAGCTGCATGAACCTGTTGTTGATGTCAGAGAGTCAAACTCTACTGAAGAGTGGGTTGTTTCCTGTTCAGCCACTGGTCGACCTGCTCCCACTGTAACACTCAGTGTCTCACAACAAGACCTCAGCTTCTCACAGTACAACACTGTCAGTGTGTCCAACACCAACGCTACATTCACTGTCACCACTACAGCTGTGCTCTCAGGTTCACGTAAACACAGCACACAGGTGGGATGTGCAGCACGAGTGCTCTCTGCTCCTCACAGAGAGGTGATGCTGACGATTCCTGATGATGATGATGAATGGTGAGAAATTGTTTCAACATCACTGATTTATAAAATCATTACTCTAATCAATGTTTGTGTTTCTTTTTCCAGGGTTAAATGAGACATCAGGATCTAATCAAAGAAATTTAGGTATGTTAATGTTTGTACTTCTTACAGATTCAGTGTATTGTTACTTTCTAGGTGTTCAGATTAATTTTTTTTCTCCTTTCCCGTTTTTTCTCAAAGTTCTCAGGATTTCAGTCATGGTGGCCTCTGTCTTGTCGGTTGCCTGTGGCTTTTTAGCTCCACTCATCTTTCTCCAGCTCAGAAAGAAAACTCAGAGCAGGTACTCGTCTTAAACATCATCTGTGTTGCACTGTCTCTCTTTCATTCAACTGATCAAAGTTTGTGCAGCTTTAACTATTCTTGAATCCTTCAGTCTGTCACACAGGGAGACGCTTAAAATACTTGAAACCACAATCAGAAGTAATTCCATCTTTATCATCCTGTCATCTCACATTTGGAAAGTTACTTCATTCTTTTTCACTCTCTGATATGCTGAGACATTTGACCTCTAAGAGACCTCTAGAGCTTCTGTTTCTCTCATTTATTCGTACTGCAAATCAAACAATCTCTGATACATATTCCGTTGTGCTGTCTAAGCTGTTAATCTGTCCAGAATACTTTGACTTGCAGTATTAACAGAGTCATGTTTCACTGTTTTTGTTGTATGTTAAGGCATGAAACACCTTCAGTCAACCAAAATGAAAACAGGCTTAAAAAGCGGAGACCTGAGAGAAACCAACCAAACCACGATCCAAGCCTTTCACCTTCACTTGCACAAAGACTTACTTTTTAAGAGCGTTGACTTGTTCTTTGGAGCAGGGTTTGCCGCTAGATGTCCGGCTTTTCTGGACGGATGTTTAAACGGACAGCTAGCATGTTCTGAACTCTTTTTTAACTGGACTTAATCAGTTAAAACTGACATTTACAGTAACTAAAGTGGTCGTGTTTCACTTCCATTTCCTTCAGTAACAGTTTGTCCTCGCCCTCTTTGTCTTTGAAAACAAATTAGTGCCAGTATTAATTTGTACAACACTAATGATTCACTTGATCTTTGAAAATGTGCTCAAATGATTTCAAACACTAGATGTTAGCGGTGTAGCAATTCTGTAAAACCTTTAATACCTCGATTGTTTGAACACAACTTTTGCCGATACCTCAAAATTTCTTTAGGGTGAAGGTATAAAAAAACAACAAAACAGTATAACTGTTTTGTTACCAGAGGTCTGATCACTTGATCAGGACTGTATCATGTGAATAATGTATCTTCAGTTTACTTTCTGGATGTACTTAATTTGCAGAGACCAAGTTTTGTGTGCATCTGTAGTGTAGTGGTTAGTGCGCTTGATTGAAGAGAAGAAGGTCACTGATTGGCAGCTCACACGTTTTTTTACTCAGGAAGAATTTTTGTGTTTTTCAAAATGAACTGAATGTGATTGAAGTGACAGTTTAAAGTTGACTTGTTTTGAAATTTCTCTGCTTTTTCACTTTTACAGTGTGATGTTAAGATTTGAAACACAAACCCAGAATCATATTGATGTGTTGTGATTTGCTTTTTTAATGTAAATTCTTTGTACTATTTTTTTATAACTTTTTTTAAACATTAAACCTTTTTATACAATAATTTTGGATGACTGGTTAAACTGCTTTTGCAGCCGAATACTCTTCAAATACAAATAACCACAATTAAAATCCCATATTGTGTTCACTTAGACAACAACAGATTTTCATGTGAAATTACACAAAAAGACCACATGAGGTCTCTGTTTATTCATGATGAAGGTATGGAGGCTTTTCAAAATGTGAAAAAATGACATACAAATACACATGTTTATATTTACATTCATGAAGTTTTCAGTTCTCAGCCCAGTAATAATTGTCATGTAAGACCATGCTGGTGTTTCTTGTCAGGTATTGTTGGTATAGTGTTTTAGTGGTTTTATTTAGTACTTTTGTTTATCTACAAAAGTACTTTTAGTCTGATAATACAGCAAATCAGAGATGAAGCCTCGACGAAGTGAATTATGAAGAAGCTAATTAGGTTACCTGTCTGTTATTTGGTGTGTAAGTAATCCTGAGCCTGTTTAGCATCAGTAGCTCACAGCTGAAAGAATAGTTTTAGGATTTTCATGATCAACCTGCAAACTATTTGCAGTTATAATGAGGCAAAAAATGAGATATATTTAATACTAACGATTGTATTTTATTTTTCAATTTTTAATTGTCTGTTTAATGCTATGTCCACAGTCAGAAACTGTTTCCCCCCTTCCTCCTCTTGGTGTCTCTGTGGGTCAAACAAAAGGAAGGAAATCTGTATGATCAGTGGCCTTTACACATTGTCCAACGTGAGCATTACAAACACTTCTGTTAGGTACATATGGACTGTGAATTAAGTTGGCAGGTAGCTTTTTTCTTTATAAAAAGTGGACCTGCATGTTGTTACCCATTTTTCAACTGAGTGTAAAAATACAGAATGTCTAATTAGTGATGTGAAGATAACATGTAAACTTTCATGCAGTAAATTTTAGTCTCTTGCAGAGTTACAGTCACCGCACCAGCACACATTTTCATGAAGCACGGTAACGTGTGGGAATTGATCTCAAGGAAATACCCTTACAGAGGAGCTCTGTGTAGAAGGTCATCATTAAAATAAAAAAAAAAAAGGATAAAGACTCACCGTTAGAGACAGAGGAGGACAGAATTATTAGCAAATGAGAAAATTTCACTTTTTAAAAGCTATTTCCCAGGTGCAAAGATTTGAAACACAGTTTGATCTTTGGATGTTCGCATTATTTTATTTTTCTCACACAAAGAAAATCATTTCATAAAAATAAAAATGATATTAATAATTTTGCTTTCCTGTGTATGACGTGTCCTGACTGATCAAGAATAAAAATTACATAAACAAGGTTAATCAATCAAAAACACAGGATAAGAAAGTCGTTTTATATTTTTAATGTGTGCACATCTTCAAACTAAACATCCTCATGTTCACTTCCTGTTAGTCAGAAATTTACTCAGCTTTAGCTAAGCAGATAATTTCTAATCAGAGATCTAAGTGTTGGAGTTTTAACTGAATGCTGAATGTTTGCCTTATAAACCTGTTTCATGATTTTTTACTGATTTATCTTTAATATATTATTGTCTCAATTTCCATATATTTATTGTTGGTCAGCTGATTTGTTTAATGGATTTTTCCTGTGCTTCAGATGTTGACATGAACATAGCTCATGCTCAGTAATTTCTTTTCTTAAAGCAGCTTCAGTTTAGCCGCATTTTGATCCGCATCAGTGACTCTGAAGCTGAAACTAGCCAACAGTTTAGGGTCACATGAACAACTTGCACTTTAGCTGCAAATACATAATAACATCTTAGAACAAATATAAAAACTTCCAAACTCTCTTTTCTTTATGGACAGGCAGTTTCTTTTAACCACTTTAAATGCACTTGCAAAAATAAATAAATATCTATATATAGATATCCTGTGACTCAATGATCTGAGGTGTTTCGCCGGAACAGTAACCCATATTACTTTCTCAGCCGTGCATTTCCTTTCAGTTTAAAGTTTTAGCGTGTGGAGCCATGATGTCGCATTTTGGACTTTCATTTTATGTTATTGCCCTTTTTTTTCTTGGAGTCTCTGACAAAGGTGAGAACAAACTATGTTAATAAGCCTGCATGTATGTATGTGATGTATTTCTCTCTCATGTTCGATAGTTTCCCGATTAGTCTTACTAATTTTCTAATCATTTGAATTATGTGGATTTATTATTTGGAGATATTCTGATAAATGAAAACTTGAGTTTGTGTAAACAGTATAATGCAATAACTTTAAATAATGTGATGAATTATTATTACTTCACCGATTATTCTGTCAAAACAAAAGGAATAAGTTATATTTAGCACGATGAAGTAGAGAGTAATGTGAAAGAAGTAACGCTGTTTCTGATAATAGCATGTCCACTGTGATGATGAAAAGCGCATTCTCCCAATCAGCACAAATTAGCAGATCAAAAACAATCACATGCGCTGATAGGAGAACAGTAATGATGCAGTAATGGATCCGTTTTCATGCACGTGTTTCTCCCCAGAAACAGCACAATGACTCAGAGCAACGAGCGGCAGCTGAAAGAGAATCAGTGTGTTTGACATCAGAACATACTGCTGTGTGTGGATAAATGTGCACGTGTGCGGCAGCTCTGCTTCATTACAAACTCTTCCACCATGGACATGAAGTCTTTGTAACAGCTGACATGTGCCAGGTGCAGAACTGCACAAAACATTATTTACAGTCAGATCCTGAACCATCAGAATAAATATGAACCTACACAGTAACTGTTCACACTGCTGTCTTTTTATTTCCTGCGTGACCTGTAACACTGCAGGCATTTACTAAAGTCGGTATTTTGTACCAAAAGTTTCAGACATGAATCTAACTCACTTCCAACGCGAGTCACACTAACCGCAGCATTGTCACAGATGTTCTGTAGGGTGTAGTGCAGATGTGAGAGATAAAAGTAGTTTGTGTTGCAGGGGTGTGTGTGTGTGTTGTGTGGTGTGCGATGTTGTGTGTGTGTTTGTGGTGTGTGACTGCAGTTTTTGTTCATTATGGACCAATTTCTGAATGTGAATACATATCTGAAATAAGTTGAGTCACTGTAAAAACTGACTTGATTGCACCTGTGTGTCTTGTATTGTGGATCTCCTCCTTGACCCCGAGGCTTTATGTTACAGTTCAGTGGTTTCATCAAATTCTGATTCATCAAAGCTCCAGAATTACTGAGGCGCAGAAATATGCAAAACTGTAGTGGGTCCGATTTTGTAGGAGATATTTTGTTTTTGCATAGTGTCTGTGAATGCTGCATGAACATTTACCTCTCACTTAGCTCTTTAATCAGAGGCTGGTTATAAGGAGCAACTGTGGCCTACTCCCTGACTCCTGGCATTTGACACTCATTGTTGTAGGTGGCGAGGATCACAGCCTGTCGTTAAGCATTGCAGCTCGAACTCATTTCCCCTGGTAACTGTTTAAGCGGTCTAACTGTGAAAGGGTGGTAA